GGAAATAATATTCCATTTAATGCATGTTTTATAGTACCTTTTGTACAATTTTATGATATTGTATGACAATAAATATATTGTTTAACAATATAACCTTTATGGTTCATGGTGTAACAGCTTTAAATTCTGGAGTGGTGCAATTAATATAATCGTTCCTAATTGCCAAGGAGCTAAACATAAAGAAATTAACATATTTTGCTTGACATGTGTGCGTTGTTTTGCCATGGCACTCACTTAATACTTGTTTCTCTTTATTCCTAAATATTTGTAACAGAATTAACAAAATTGTTTAAGGGGATGTTATATTCGATGTTTTCCAAATTAGGTGAGCTATGGAAAATACACATTCTGCCTTTTTGTATACAAAATGTAATACTATTAAATTAGCATTTTTGTCTTACTGACTCTGATAGTATAGCAATACTATCTTTGTTAACATGGTCCTGCTGTTCCTGAGTGGTAGAATGGCATTGATCCGTTCTTGCACATGGCACCTTAAAGCATTTCTATAAATATAAAACTGAATGATTTTAGTAAATTTTGCACAAAGATATTTGTTAGACATTTGAAAGTCACATATAATGCATGTGGATCTGGTAAATGTGACAGCTAGTGAACAGCAGATTAATATCACAGTAGGTTGCTTTTACAGGCTTTAATTTCAGTTAGTGGATGTGTTAGTAAAAATTCTTAATAGTGGTAAAATTGTGTTTTCAAGCAATTTCAAAACTCTGTTGAGGTTATATTTAAAGTTAGAAAAGTGTGCCCTCCCTTTTTGGATGTTGTTACTAGCCGCCAATGCCCTTCAGAATTGGAGGTTTTCTTTGTAAGGGGTAGCCAAAAAAGAGGTGCCCTTCAAATCATTGGTGCTTGATGCAGAAGAGCAGAAGACTGTTTGGCAACCCTATTGCCCAGGTGCAAGTGGAAATACTATATACCTGCTCTATACTGTGGGCAAGTAAGTGGAAACCTCCTTTACTGCGAACTGATTTTAATGGGCCTCTAAGCACTGAATTAGTTCACATTAGATGTGAGTTTGAAAAAGTTAAAAACATATTCCACAAACCAAATGAAAATAAATCTCTAATGTTCCTATTTTAAAGGGTGTCTAAAGGTCATACTTTTTAAAGCTATAGATACAGTAGAGTGAGGAACCTCTATTTTTAGTTCTTTCTGTGTACTTGCTAGATTTACACTTTCCACTGTCACTGTGTCAGAAAGTGAAAGAAAGTACTACATTTTCACCACAACATCAATAGATTGATAATATTCCACTGTGGGCACTTGTTCCGCTGACATTTTTTTAAGAGGCGATCTCTTTTACTTTTCCTCTCACTTCCTGTTGACAGGAAAATCTCCACAATGAGACACAGGCTGTAGAGAAAATATAAAAAATGTTTAGCTGTTTGAACTAATATCTGTGTCCAGCAATCTACTGTTTTATAAAGTCTCCTTCTGATTCCAAAATTGGTGTGAAGGGTGTTTCCCATTTCATTTGTTCTCCACCTTCGAGGTGCTTCTGGACTTTCTTTTGATATCAGTGACTGTAAGACCATATTTGGTTTAGGCCCAAATACAGATAACTACTGTATGTAGTACAAAAAATGACCACTGCCCCAGTCTATAATTGGCCTTTACAGCAAGGAACACATGGAAGGGTGAAGCATATCAAAAAAGAGAAAGGTTTCCAGCCCAACTTGCCAGCCAGCTTGCAAATAAACTGAATTAACCTGTCTAACAGTATGCATTAAAACAGGGGTTTAATTAGCACACATTTGCAAATACATATGTAAGCTACAGAGCCACGCCACGGCACCCTGATATTCTGTAGTCCTAACTCTATAAATTTTGAGAGCCCCCATAGTAGAGGCACATGTATTTAATGGATAGAACAAGGGCAGGTGAACCTGAGGGAGCCCACCCCTCCTTAAAGGTACAGGAGTGCACTGGACACCCAGCATATAGCACAATGGCAGCTAGGCTGGCAAGTTGACCTGGGAACTTTTTCTCTGTTTTGACATGAGTCACTCGTGCATATGTTTCTTGCTATAAAGGTCAGTTATTGACTGGGGCAGTAGCCATTTTTTGTACTGTTGAATTGTTAGTGAGTGGGTGCACTGGACACCCTAGCTGCCATTGTGCTCTATGCTGGGTGTCCAGTGCGCTCCTGTACCTTTAAGGAGGGGTGGGCTCCCTTAGGTTCACCTGCCCTTGGTCTATCCATTAAATGCATGTGACAAAAATAGAAGGTAGAGCTCTAACCACATAATCAATAATAACAAAAAATCATCATCAAAACATGAAAAGAAAATATATATCAATTGAAAAAAAAGGAAAAAGGTGAAAAAATGTATCACAATCCAAAAAATATGATCTTATATACAAATATATCATAAACGTATTTTATCAAACAAATAAAGTGTCCAATTTCATCATGAAAAAAATATATATTCTAAAAAATCAATACCAAACATAAAAATATGTCCAATAATAGTGTCCTTAAGTGTAAACAAATACGTGGAAAAAACTTTTTGCATCAATCAAATTCCAATGTGCAACTTGATATTCTTGAATTAACACCAAAAAATTCACCACCAGATGAATTAAATAAACTCACCAGAGCAACATGCTGGTCAAATTATAAATCAGCATACACTTTTGCTCTGGGAGCAACGATCTGGAGACTGATGACTGGCAATTGGGAGGCAATTCAATGAACATAAATATCTTCTTAACATCAAACATATTCATAAAGGAAGAGAAAGGGAACTAATAGTGTAAAATAGTACGGCAATTTTATTCATAAAAGCATTCCAGAAATTACAATCACATTCCGTAGTGTCAAAGCCAACACTAGCTTGAACAGCGTATACATCACAAATTCAAAAAAGCCCGCTTTGGTGTCAGCCGATGTCGACAGCTCGTTGGGGGCGTGGTGACGTCACTCCAAGGCTACACCTCTTTAAAATGTAGCAGTAGGTAGTTTAGGAATGAGCAAAGTCCCTTTTTGCAGTAGAAGTAGTTACAGAGCTGAGCTCCTCAGGTACAAGCCAGTTACAACAGACTGCAACAGCCCAAAGGTAGCATAGCTGAGCAAAATTATTTCCAGTAGCAACAACTGGACAAGCTCTTCAGAACACTAGTCAGTGTTCCCTTTTCTCAGACCCACGCTGACTATCAAGCGCCAGAGAGGTAGCAAAACACACATATTCCTCAATATCACTTGGTGTCTGTACTCACAAGCCCAAGGGCAGAATGGCTACCTCCTTCCAATTTTCCAAGAGACTCTCTCACAAGTGATACGAGACAGACCTTTGGCAGGCAGCTCCTCTCAGTCAGCTTACTGTAGAGGGTCACTCTCTCTAACTATCTCTAACGACCCACCTGAGGCTGCATGGCAGCCAGTGCTAGGCAAGGCAGCGTGCCTCCAGCCTGGCTTGATGCAATCAACTCCTGAGAAATACACAGAGCCTATGTGCTCGCAAAACATAAATACCACTCCCAGCATGCAGTGGGGTCACCCTCCCCTGCAATTGGCCAGGGCTGTATTCATGCTGTTCATATGCCTAGCCCCTACCCATGTTCTGGAAGGCTCTCATAGCTTCCTGAAGGAGGGCAGAACTCAGACAAACCCAAATAACAAGACTTGACTAATCAATCACAGCACTCTGCTAAGCAGAATACCACACTGAATTTACCTGACAGCATCTCTGGTAAGCAGAGAAACACAGCTATGCGTAACCTAACTGTATACATCCAAGAACCTGACTAGGAGGGTGCTACACTTGCACTTCTCCAATAGTCTGTGTCTTCTACCTACTTTCTGTTACAGTTCTCTTTAAACCTCTTCAACATTCAACAGTTCCAGGAGTGAAGGACACCTATGTCTCCCATCGCATGACATAGTTCCATTCGCTGATCAGCATCCAACACTTGTTGCTGAATAGAGGAAATATTTACTGAAGCTGCAGTTCTGGTAAGGAGGTAAGGTAGGAGACATGGATGGCAAGAGAGGTAGGTATAAATACTGTTCTATTGCAGGGAACCTTAATTCCAATTTATTATAAGTCTGACAGGGTCATTTTAAAGTGTATTTCCACCTTTGCAGTCAAATTTGAGAAAACCCCACTATATGTTTGTTATGTGTTCCCATGCACAAAGCACATACAGCATGTCTAAAAAAATGTTTTTTGTGTTTTTTATATTTTTCACCTTTTATTGTCAATTAAAAGACATGGGAAAGCATGCACTGCCTTGGGTGGCATGTACCAATGCTTCAATAAATGATCATAAGTGTATCTAAAGTCAAAAGTATTATGGAAGTAGAACATCCATTATATTTGTACTGATGTCTATTTTCCAGGTGAGTGCGTCTACTTCTCTATTTGTGCTGGACCTGGTGACTACTGCCCTCTCTTTCCATATCCAAAATTTTATGTTGTTACCAGAACAGGAATAGAGGGGAAATCTTTTTAGTAGACCCTTGTTCCAGTGACAGCTGTCTAAGAAGGCATTACCTTAATTTCCATTTGTGTTTATAGAACAGGAAGTGAAGGGAAATTTCCCCAAAGGAACACTGATGGAAAAGAATAGAAGGAAAAGACAGGGGTTTTACTTTCCTCTATTCTATCCAAAATTAAAAAAAAGGTTTAGTTTTAGATACTTTAACCACTAGCCTACAGGGCACTTATACCCCCTTCCTGCCTAGGCCAATTTTCAGCTTTCAGCACTGTCACACTTTGAATGACAATTGCGTGGTCATGCAACACTGTACCCATATGAAATTTTTATCATTTTTTTGAGACAGATAGAGCTTTCTTTTGGTGGTATTTAATCACCACTGGGTTTTTTATTTTTGTGTTTTTTTCCTTCACTGATGTGCGCTAATGAGGCTGCCATGATGAGCACTGATAGGCTGCACTGATGGAAACTGATAGGTGGCACTGAAGGGCACTGATGAGGAGGTACTGGTAGGTGGCACTGATGGGCATTGACAGGCATCACTGATGGGCACTGAAAGGCAGCACTCATATATGGCACTGATAGGCATCACTGATAGACAGAACTGACTGGCACTGATAGGTGGCACTGACTGGCACTGTTAAGTGGCACTGACTGGCACTGTTAGGCGGCACTGATAGGCAGAACTGACATGCGGCACTGATGCGCACTGATAGGCGGCACTGACTGGCAGCACTGATCGGTAGCACTGACTGGCATTGATAGGTGGCACTGACTGGCACTGATAGGTGACACTGAAAGGCAGATCAGATGGGCACTGATATGTGGCATTGATGTGCACTGGTAGGCACTGATATGTGGCATTGATGTGGCACTGATGGGCACTGGCAGGTGGCATTGATGAGCACTGACAGCTGGCACTGATGGACATTGACAGTTGGCACTGCTGGGGCTACACAGATGATTAGTGCACATGTCCTCTCTGAGTAATGCCAATTACCAGCTCTCCTCTCCTCACGAGCTGTCAGGGTGACAGCTCGTGAGGAGAGAAATGCCGATAACCGGCATTTCCCTATTTACATGTGATCAGCTGTGATTGGACACAGCTGATCACATGACCGAGCCAACATCTTTGGCTCTTTCCACTGATCAGTGAGCCGCTGTGTCCAAAGGACACAGCGCACCACCGATCGCCGTGCTGCGCACTTCTGGAGCCGCGCATGAGTGGTTAGAATTGGAGGACGTCATATGACGTCCTGCCAGAACGAGAGAACCACCTTGCGCCCGTCATTACCTTGTATGGCAGGCGGGAGGCAGTTAAAGGCTGTTTCTGTATTTTGTACCATGTTACATGTTACACCCTCAAACCACCACTCCCTATTCTTCTCCCTTGCAGTCGCTATCATTTTTTAAGTTTGGTACACTTGCACAGCTGAGTCCTTCATTATCAGAGATCTGTGATTGAATGAACTACAAATCCTGTCTTTCGCCACTACAGACAGACATGTAGTTCTCAATGGAACACAAATGCAGTGATAACCACACTTGTAGTCCATTGCCACTTCCGTCACCTCTCCTCTGAATGTCAGTACCTAGGTATGGACAGGGAGCTAGAGGAAGTGTCTGTAGGAGCCTGGCATTGCATCCTTGATCCACTTTCTGACTGCCTACCACATTTCTTGAGGTGCTAAAATACCAGGACAGTACAATCTCTTTTACGGAAAGTAGACACCATATGCTATCTGCTGAGAGGCATGTTGAAGATTTATTTTTTTTGCACAAGTTTTTGGAAAATGACAAAAACATTTTTTTTTTGTTTACACAAAGTTGTCACTTAAATGATATATTGCTCACACATGCCAGGGGTATATGTGGAATTACACAAATACAAAATACATTCTGCTACTTCTGCAAAATATGGGGATACCACATGTGTGAGACTTTTTGGGAGCTTAGCCACATACAGGAGCCTGAAATCCAATGACCACTTTGAAACCCTGAAGGTGCATAACTTCCTCATTTCACTTCCTCCCTACCTATCACAGTTTCGGAGGCCCTGAAATGCCAGGATAGCACCCCCCCCCCAAAATGACACCCCAAGGAATTTAAAAAGAGGGCATGGTGAGTATTTTGCAGATCTAATTTTTTAAAAAAGAAAAGAAAAAATATGTTTTTGTTCTCTTTTTTCATTTTCCAAAAACTTGTGGCAACAAACAAGATCTGCAAAATACTTACCATGCTTCTTATCAAATTCCTTGGGGTGCCTACTTTCAAAAAAGAGGTAATTTATTCATTTTTAATATCAATAGGCGATGCTTTAAAAGCCTTTACAAGCTACCGTTTTAGATTTACAGATGAGATTTTGTGCTAGATTTACTGCCCTTGATCTGACGTTCGCTGCAATACCTCACATGCATGGTGCAACTGCTGTTTACATACGGACACAGGGTCAATGCTCACGCACGCAGGTTATCAGGCATATCTCCTCTGCCCTTACATCATCTACATCATCTAATCTAACCAAGATCCGTGTGATCAGATGCTTTCCCAATTTACAAATAGCGCTGTTTATATCCTGCAAAACTGAAGTGATGAAATGCTGGCAGCTTTTGATTCTTGGACTATAGAGATTATTGGCACCATTCCCATCTCCAATCAGCTCTATCATCAGCTGGCAGAAATGCCAGCTGCATTCCCAGGTTCCCCCGATGGCACAGGACTGCCCAAGAAGGCCGTGAAAGGCAGTGGAGGAGGGGGAGCATCTTCTCCCACTGCTTGTAAAAGCAATCCTTCAGCTAATTAGCCACTAGGATTGCTTTCACATGAAATCCGGTTGTCAGCTGAAAAAAATGATGCCAGGATGATGCCTGCAGCTGCAAGCATCATCCTAGTATAAACCACTCAAAGTCCAGTTAAGTACCAGTATGTCACTGGTGCTTGTTGGGTATATATGCTATGTTCTTTTTTTTTATGCAGCCTGTAGGCTGAATGAAAAAAAAGAGAAGTAATCTCTGCCAGAAAAGTGTGTGGTATGCCCACCATTAGAATTTATTTTTTTAAAATATATACCGAAGCATAGGGGCCATCCACCCACTGACCACCCCAGGCCTCCATGCTTCGACATATATGCTCTTTTTTAACTTCAGATGAAAAATCTTATCCAACAGCACTGCAAACACTTACTTATGTATATTCTGAAAGCAAGACCATGTTGATGTCAGAATAAACAGGTCGTTGCTGCAGCAGAATGGCATTTCTGCAAAGAAAACAGCAATGGTTAACAATAAAACAGTAACAATAAAGCAGTAACTCAATAAAACAACTTTTTTGTTGAAATATGTGCCAAAAAATATTATAAAATATATATGCCAAAGCATAGGGGCCATCCACCCACTGGCCCCCCCCAGGCCCCCATGGTTCAGCATATATGCTCTTTTTTAACTGCAAATGAAAAATCTCATCTAACAGAGCTGCTTATGTATATTCTGAGAGCAAGTTGCTGTCAGAACAGGTCAGGGCTGCAGCTAAATGGCATTCCTGCAAAGAAAACAGCAATGGTTAACAATAAAACAGTAACAATAAAACAGTAAAATTGTAACAGTAGAACAGTAACTTGACAACAACATAAAAAACTACAACTATTTTTGTTTTTTAAAATGTAAAAAAAAATATTTGTACTTGTACTTTTTATTTTTTATGTTTTTTTTTTTACTTTTTTTTTTAACTTGAACTTAAACAGATTGTAGGGTCTCTCAAAATGTGATAGCCAGTTTCCTGATTACCTAACATCTTTCGAGATCCTGTGCAAATATGTGCCCTGAACTGTGCCGTGCTGTACTCTATACTAATACTCCACTAGTGTGTAGTAGTGATGGAAGTAGTCCTTTAGGCAGAGACCAGGTTGGCCAGGACAGGAGGGATAAAAAAAAGAAGCAGGTGTCACGCCTAATTCCGTGTGTGCTACAGACACAACATCTTTTTTGGGGTGTCCTTAGCGTTGGGGTACCAGGAATGACATCGGGAAAATGCCTCTCATGCAGCCGGCTAACTGCATCTGGGTTGAGGGTTTGGGCCATACCACCTTCTCGAAACAAAAGGGCCATGATGATCTCTTCCTGGAATTTTAGGAAGGATCCACTATGTCCAGTTGCTTTGTAAAGCACAAAAACATTATATAGTGCCAATTGAAATAAATAAACTGACACTTTTTTGTACCAGCTTCTGGCTTTTTGGTTATTGAAGTCCACATCTCCCATGTTAAGGTTATAGTCATGGACACAGAGGGGCTTCTCAACAACACCAGCTGCTGTGGCAATTTGGATGGTCATGTCTGCATGAATGGAAGACAGGATGAAAACATCCCGTTTGTCCTTCCACTTCACTGCAAGCAATTCATATTTTTTCAAGCAGGCTTTCTCCCCCTTTCTAATACAGATATTTACAAGCCGTTGGGGGAAGCCCCGGCGATTAGGTCGCACAGTGCCACATGCTCCAATTCCAAGATTGTACAAATGTCTAAATAGAGGCACGCTTGAATAAAATTTGACCATGTATAAGTGGTACCCCATATGAAAAAAGGATGACACCAAGTCCCAAACTATTTTGCCACTGTTCCCCATGTAGTCTGGGCATCCGGGGAGCTCCATGTGAATATCTTTTCCCTTGTAAATCCGAAACTTATATGTATAATCTGTTGCCCTCTCACAGGTCTTCTACATCTTGACCCCATATCTGGCACACTTGCTGGGGAGAAATTGTTTGCATGCAAGGTGGCCAGAAAAACTAATGAGGGATTCATCAAGGTTCGAATTTGGGTTGGCGGCTCTAAACTGTTATGCATATAAATTGCTTTGATCCACAATCAATGCATACAGATCTTCAATGACAAAACAGCTCCAAAAAAATCAAGGGGAGTAGGTAAATTTGCTGTTTCCATCTGAATTCCGGGTTGGGCAGTGAAAGGGGGAAGTATGGGTGCTGCAGAATTTGTGGGCTGCCTGTCAGGCTCCGCCCAACGGGATCTCTAGTGGTCCACGGCACGGGGTTTCCCAGGACGCGGAGTCTAAGTCCCAGTCTGCCTTTTCACCAGGGCCCCTGATGGTGGGGATGGACTTGGTGCAAGACTGAAACCAGGTCGCGTCCCTGGGCACCCCCGGCAGTGGCAGAGGGGTCCCGCTGAGGGTATGTGCCCGGGTAGAGCCTGCTGTGAAGGGGATGACAGATCCCGATCCTGAGCGCGATGGATGGGATGACAGATCCTGATCCGAGCGGGATGGATGGGCAGCTATCAGGAGTAGGCGAGGTCAGACTAGCCGGGTCGGTATTGTGCGGGCAGCGTGGTACGGGGGGAGTAAGCGGAGAATGGTCGGGGTCACAAGCCAGGTTCAGCAGGTAGCGGGCAGCGCGGTGCAGGAGGTCAGGCAGAAGGATGGTCAGGGACGAGCCGGGGTCAGAGCAGGAGAAGGTCAGCATAAACAGGACAGGCAGAGTTTGGCAACAAGGAGCGTACTTACAGGAACAGGAACGAGACCTTGTGGCAACTTGGAGATGCACAGGCAGCTTTAAATAGAGCGCCCTGCTCTCCCATTGGTGCGGCCGCGATCGCTACTGCGCATGCGCGGCCGCCGCGATCGCCGAGGATTCTGCGCTCGCCGGCTGGGACGGATCGGCGGTCTGCGCATGCGCGCGCCGCCGAGGACCCGGGATCCCTGACATTGCCCCCCCCCTACGGGCAACCTCCGGATGCCCAACCGACCCCTACTCAACGGCTGGTTCCGAAAAAATTCCCGCACAAGCCTTGGGGCGTGCACATTTTGGGCCGGCTCCCATGAATTTTCCTCCGCCCCATATCCTTTCCATTTAACCAGAAACTGAGTTTGGCCTCCCCTCTTCCTGCAATCTAAGATAGCTTCAACTTCAAATTCCTCCTCCCCATCCACGTCTACTGCCTCCGGTGGCTTAGACCTTCGATCCGGGAAGGGGTCTGGAGTTGCCGGTTTCAACAGGGACACATGGAAGACCGGATGAACCTTCATAGATTCGGGCAGTGCCAGCTCGTATGCCACCTCGTTGACCTTACGTTTGACCCGAAAAGGCCCCAAGAACTTGGGAGCCATTTCTTTGAAGGGCAGGACATTTTTAAATTTGCGGTGGACAACCAAACCTGGTCCTCTGGCCGCAAACTCAATTCCCCTCTTCTCTTCCT